CTCCTCCACCGTCATTCCTGCACGTGTTTCCCTGCACCGGGTTTGTGAGGTTTCCCCTGAGGCCTTGCATGGCCCGTGTTACCTTAGGCAGGACACAACGCAGATCCCCAGTTTCCTCACAAGAGTAATTATCGGGAATTGCAGTGAATACAATTTTTTTGACTGCTGTGCCAAAAAGCTTTTCAAATGTTATCTTATTTAGTCTGCCAAATAACCCTTTGAGATAAGCATTATCTTGGCTCATTTAGCAGATAAGGAGACCAAAGTTTAGCAAGATAATATGGCTGGCCCAAGGAAGAGACACTGTTTTTTGCTGTTGCTAGAACTACAGTTGAGCCTTGAACAACGTGGGCATTGGGGCCCCGACCATCCCTGTGGTGTAAAATGTGGTCAGCTCCACATGCGCACTTCTTCCATGTCTATGATTTCTGTGTTACCTGAGGTTCCACATCTGCAGATCCAACCAATCTCGGATCATGTAGTACTGTAGTAAGTGTTTACTGTAAAAAGCCACATGTAAGTGGACCATCGCAGTTCACACCCATGTTGTTCATGGGTGGACTGGACAGCGCAAGCCCTGGGGTGCAGGTACAGGGTCTACACGATGAATCCTGCTCTCCACTCCCTCTTACTGTGTGAAGAGTGACTCTGTGGGTGAACAGATTGTGAGGTTGTAGCTTTGTTTTTGTTCTGTACATCGGAAGCAGCCGTGTCTAGCCATTACAGCCACTTCTTGGGTTCGAATTCTGACTCTGCTTAACCTTTCTGGGCTTTAATTGGTTCAGATACAGAACAGGGGCAAGGAGAGTACGTACCTCGCAGGGCGGTTGTGAGGACGCAGTTACTAGAAGGGGAGCCCGCAGAACTGTGCCTGCACACGGTGAAAAGTTTCTGCGTTTGCTATTATTGTCATTATTTCTATATTTGTTGTTCTGAGAAGGTCCCCAGCAAACAGTGACAAGAGCACGTGATGTTTTCTTATCAAGGGATTGAGAATGTCAGTTACTACGCACGAGTCCTTTCTCTTCCTTTCCCCAATCTTGCTCCCTCGGACATTCTTCGCTTTAAAAATCCACAACAATAAAGGACATGAAGATACCACTTTGTTTTTTAAGCTTAAAGGGATCATCAGGAAACCTTGCAGGGGGGCTGGGTGAAACAGCATCATGGGATGCTGACAGCGGTCGTCCTCTAGTTCACAAATTCTGCAAGAGAAGACATCCTGGCTTTACCTGGAGCAGGACTCCTGGTGGCCAGTCTGCTCCTTGGATGTGGCCCCCCAGCACCTCCCGTCCTTGTCTTCCTGCAGCGCTGCCGCTACTTTTCAATCTGCAGGACACAGAAAGAGGGAACCACCCCAGGTCCTAGGAAATTTACATCCCCTACAGTTCAACAGCGGGTCTCCTCTGTGCTGAGGGGTCTTCTTCCTGCCTCTGGCCACTGCCCCCTCCCACAGTGGTTCTCATTCAGCCAGGGCCCACCTGAGATCTCAGGGGCCGTCAGAGTACATGTCGCCCACTAAATGCAAGGCACTGAATGCAAGGAGCAAGGAGGCATTAGTAGGGCAGAAAATGCGTCCTGGGGGTTTCTTCTTATGGATAAACATTTCTTGTCACGTCAGTGAGCTTATATACAGCAAGACAGAGATATCTGTTCTCGGGGTCCTCATGATTTCTGATAAATTTCACATTCTAAGTCCCATTACCCCCAAATGTGTCCATCATACAATTTTCCAACCTAGAAAATAAAGTAAAATCATAATGAAGTATGTTCTTCCTTTTATGACATAAACCCAAATTGTCCCAAGTCAGAATTTTATCAACACCAAACTTGATATCAGCCATGGCATTGCAGATTTTTCTTGTTTTCTTATTGAAACTTTCCTATATTTCCTCAAGTTTTTGCTGGGAACATACATTATTTTTAAAATAGAGAAAAGCATTCTTAAAAATAAAAATAATTATGAGTTTGTGAAGGAAAAGGCGGGCTGGTCTAACAAGATAACTCACAAGTCTAGGAATGTGAAGGAGAGGCTGGGCTGGGCTAACAATAACAAGATAACTCACAAATCTAATTATCGGAATACTGATCAGAGTTCTGCTGGACTAACTTGTAAATCTAAGTTAATTAGTGTTGGTTTGCTGTTCATGTTTTTTGCTAGCCAGCTGGATTTTCAAAGATACATATCTGGCTTTGGAATGTTGGTTTGCTGCCTCCCTGCCTCCACCTTTGTGATGATAATGCTGCTAAAACTGTTCCATGCCTATTGGCCGAATACCCCAAGCTTGTACTTTACCCTGTACAACCTCATGCGCACGTCTTGGAGGTGCTCAGAGCTTCAGAGCAGAAGCCCCTCTGAGCCCGCTGGCCTAATGCATCTGAGTACTCCAACCCTCCGAGTGGTGCTTGTTTCTTGGCTGGCCTATCGCTTCTGTAACAAGTTTACTCATTGGAAAGTTTTGAACAGAGAATTGACATATTCTTAGACATTTGTAAAGTTTCACTTTGGCTACTGTGTAAAGAATGGACATGGGGACAAGGATAGGCAAGAGAACAGGTGAAAACTACAGAAGTAATTCTAGTGGGAGGTGAAGTAGTTTGGACCAAAGTGGTAGAAATGACAGTGTAAGAAGTAGTAGAATTCTGAGTATGTTTTGAAGATAGAGTCAACAGTATTCCCTGTTTAATTTAGACCAAATCTAAAACTCCCGACTAATCCCCTTTAGTGTTTTTTAACCTTGGTGTGTGACAAGCAGAATAATGGTCCCCAAAGAGGTCCACAGCCTAATTCCCGGAACCTGTGAATACATCACCTCACGTGACAAAAAAAAGACTTCGCAGATGTGATCGCATTAAAGACTTCGACACGGGGAGATTAACCTGCATTATCCAAGTGGGCCCAACCTAACGTTAAAGGAAGAAACCCTTTCTCGGCTGTGATCAGAGAGGGACATGATTGGGAGAACAGTCAGAGAGCTGTGATGGGAAAAGGACTCCAGCAACCGTTGCGGGCTCTGAAGATGGAGGAAGAGATCCACAACCAAGGAATGTGGGCTGTTTCTAGAAGGTAGAAAAGTCAAGGAGACAGATTTCCCCTAGAGCCTCCAGAGAGGAGTGCAGCCCTGCCAACATCTCGATATTAGTCTTGCGAGATTTGTGTTGGATTTTGAACATACAGAATTATAAAATAAATTTGCATTGTTTTAAGCAACAAAGTTTGTGGTAATGTGTTATAGCCACAAGGCAACCAATAGGATTGAGCAAACCACTCAGTATCTGTGGCCCTCTGTTTTTCCACCTGGAAAAAAAAAAAGAGGGTGATGACACTTAGGCAGGATTGCTGTGAGAATCAGAAAAATGGGTACAAAATGTGCACCAGATCATTGGCACTCAGTACAGTATCCATTGTTGCTGTTCTGTGTTTAAGCTAAGAATACTCAACTCTTAGGTAACCTGAACTCACCCGCTTTCTGCATGTTTCTTCACTCATTAACCTGATAACACTACTCTGGGAGGTAGGGGTCCAGAACCTTGAAGTCAGATGGTCTTTGTTCAGTTCCTCTCTTATTAGGGGCTTTGAGCAAATTACTTATACTCTCTGAGGCTCATTTTTACCACCTTTAAAAAGGGAGATAATGCCGGCACATAAGCTCCTGTTAGAGATAATGTATGAATGCGCCTGTGTGTCACTCAAGAAACGGCATCTTTCCTTTCCCCCAAGCTACAGAAATCCTGAGTGTCTGAGTCTCTATGAGAAAGTGCTGTTTCTCTCGCTTCCTCTTTTCCCTGCCATCCTTATTTTCATTTTATCCTCTGCTCTTCTTAGGGATTTGGGTCCTGCTTCATGGGGTTTGTGTCTCCTTGCTGCCAGTCAAGAATGCTAAAGAGTGTTCTGAAAATTTCTTATGGTTCACATTCTAAGTTATTTCCTGAGTCCTGCTTTTCCCCTGAGAATTGAGACTACTGTTGCTTTCCCATTATTCTAATCTGCTTGTTTTTACAAACACTTTGTGGAGAGGTAGTTAGTGTTTTCTCATCTTCTAAGGAGGAGAAGTCTATCCACACCATTGAGGACTTGCCCAGTGGCTTGCACTGGGCTCCTCAGAGTGTCCACTTCAGTGCTAACTGAATCCGTTTCTTAGATCAGCATCTGGAATTCCCAGTGTTTATTATTCTGAAGAATAACATCTTTCTGTACCCACCCTTTCCTTGTCTCCTGTGCCAATAGGGGAGGAGTTTCCACACCTTCCAACAGGTAACCTTCCCCTATGTAGTCTGGCTCCACCCCCTCCCATCTCTCCACTAATCGGTCATCACGTTATCCTCCCATAACTGCAGTCTCACTACCAGATCCTTCCAATCAATGCTTGAACATACTCCTGTCTTAGTCCCTACCTTAAAAAAAATTACTCTCTTGGGACCACTCCCTTTTACGTCTAGCTACTGCACTGTCTCCTTACTCACAGCCGAGTTTCTCTAAAAAGTCGTCTACACTGTCTCCACTCCCATTTACACACTTAGAAGGGCAGTGAAGTCGTCAAGAGAATGGATTTGTGAGCCAAGCTGCCTGAACCGGGATCCTGCTTCTGCCACATGTCCTTGGGCAGGTCAAATAACCTCTCCATGCCTTCATTTCCTCATCTCTAGAATGGAATAAGAAGAGTACCTGCTTCATCAGGTTGTTGTGATGACTGAAGTAATATAAATTTTAAGTATATGGAGAGTTCGTAGGGCAGTACCTAGGCAGGGCTTGTACTATGTTAATATGATTATAATCCACTCCAGTGCAGCATAGGCTTCATTACTTCGGTAGAACCTTTGCTGATGTCACCAGTAACTTCTATTTTGGTAAATCCATTGAATGCTTTGTAGACCTCTACTTGATTGACATTTCAGCAGTTCTGGTACTAAAACATCCCCCCTTCCTGAGTCACTCTCTTTCCTCACTTGGATGATAGATGATCTTCCCAGCTTCCTCCCTGTTCTCTCAGCATCAGCTGCTGGTTTTCCCTACTCTACTCAAACCTCAGTGTCGGAGTTGTTTGGAGCTCAGCCCTAGGCCGTCTTCTCTTTTATTATTTCTTAAATTTTTTCATGGCAAGAATACTTGACTTGAGGTCTACACTCATAACCTAGGTCCTCCTTTTTTACTACCCATTCTCCCTAGGTCAACCCATCCACTCCATGTTCACAACTACCTTCATCTCAGCTCTCTGGCTCAGGGCTCTCTCCCGATATCACTCACAAGCCTCTCACACTTAGCAACTGCAAACTCACGCAGTACCTGCTTTCCCAACTGGCACCCCAAACTTCTGTTTCCTGGCGTTGCCACCCACCAGTTTTTCATGCCAGAAATCTGTGAAACCTCAACCCTTCTCTCTTGGGCCTGCGACAGAGAATCTTCCACCAGCTTCTGGCTCCTCTCCCTCCAAAGTGCTTTTAGAATCTTTACGCTTTGCTCTTTCTCCACTGCCAACACCGTGGTCCAAGCTTGAGTTATTTCCCTCCTGAACCACTGCGTAGAACTGGCATTTCCCCAGCACCACCCGTCTATGTGTAGGAGCCCTGAGGGACCTTTGAAAAACACACAATGACCATGCCGCTCCCTTTCTCCAACAGTATGGTTGACTTCCTGTTGCTTCTAGGGGTAGAGCCCGAAATTCCTTTCCATGGCTTAGGAGACCTGTATCAGCTGACCCCACCGGTCTCTCTGGCCTCCTCCTCCTCCTCTTCTCCCTTTGCTTACTAGCTCCAGTCACAGTGACCTTCTCACTGGTTGTCAAGGACAGTACTTTCCTTCCAACTTCAAAGCTCCCGCCTTCCCCACACCGCCATCCAACCCCACCGCTCCCTCAGTGAGGTCTCCCATGATTATTAGTTCCAAATCCTACTCACCCTTCAGGTATTAGCTTAAATATGTCTTTCTTAGGGAGGCCTTCTGTGATTTCCAAGACTTGGGTCAGCCTCTCTGTGGTACCTGTCACCTATTCATTTCCTGTTCATTTCCATCTAGGAAGTTAAAAAAACAGTTTTGGTTATGTGGTTATTTGGTTAATTTTTTTGCCCAAAGTCTGCCACCCAGATCCTCTCCCCTCCCTACCTAGACAACAGAAAGATGAATAGTTGAAACGGTCTTAAATAAAAAGAGCTTCCTTGTCTGCAGTTTTTAAGGGTTAATACAGAACTATTCTCTTTAGACATCACATCAATCAAAATATCAGAGAAAATGTTATTAAGATAGATTGCTTAATAAGAGAAATCGTGATAGCATGTGAGGTTTAAATACAAGCAGATAGAGTAAGGAATTTTTTTTAATTTTTAGAAATATTTACACTATCGGCTGAAATAAATGCGCAGCCTAAAAGTTGAGAGTTATGTTTTATTTGGTGGGAGAAATTGAGCTGGGATGAGAGCCTCTCAGATCTCTCTGAGGGTCCGCCCTGAAGAGGTAGGGAAGGAGCTAGGATATGTAGGAGCTTTACAACAAAGGCCAGGTAGTTGGAACAATAAAAGATTACTTGTTATCTAAAGAAAGACAGGCATCTCAAAGAATTTAGTGCTTTTCTGTGTACGGGAGGAAGCAAACATTTGGGCTCATTGAATTCATTCCTTTGACAAGCACCTGTCTATCTAGGGCCAGTATCCTGTCCTTTCTTATTCTGACTCCCCTCAGGGTGCACCGTTGTTGAGTGGCTGCAGAGGCCGGGCTGCAGGTTTGTCTTCACTATGGGTGGCTGCAGCCGCTGAAGACTTGATGGCTTCAGCATTCTTTGTTTACTGATACAGTTTGCAGTATTTTTCGTTCACAACACCTACCTTACACTTAGCTCAGTAATAATCATATAACTTGTTTACAACACTCTTACCATGTATTTCTCTAACGTTGAATTTCAGCTTTATTGTCTCTTCTCCCACTTGCCTGATTCATTTAAATTGCCACCCGAAGCTGATAGACTTGTAGGAGGAACCTCACAGACAGTGCTTCTTGCCAGTGACATCTTATAGGGGAGATGACCCGGTTCAGGCGATAAAAAAAATTCAAGTGGAGAAAAGATCCATTTTTTAGCCAAAGTAGAGCCTCCTCATTTCCCCAAGGGGAGTTTTCTCGCTGTCTTTGAGAATGTGAGAGTATCTTGAAGTCTCGGAACATATTTTCTGGTGGCTACACAGGCAGTGATGCAGGAAAACGGATGTGGGGCATGAGGAGGGCCATGTCCCTGGCTTCAGTTAAGCCCCTGGGACGTGCCCCGCCAAGTGTGGGTCCTTGGCTTCGTGCAGGAAAGAATTCAAGAGCGAGCCACGGTTGAGGGAAGGTAGATTTACTCAGAGAGATACATTGAAAGGCAAGAGAAAGGCCACGAGATGTTGGGGTTGGGTGCTCAGATTAAAAGTAGGTACAGACTCCATAGACAGAATGTGGGCCGTCTCCAAAGAGGGAGAGGAGGGGCCACCTCCAGGTGCCATGTTGCTGGTTTTTATGGGCTCAGTGGCTTCATATGCTAACAAGTGGAAGGACCAGTCTAAGTAGCCTGGGGAAGGGACTGGGATTCCCAGGAAGTTGGCCGTTTCCCACTCTTGGACCTTTTGTGGCTAGCCTTGGGACTGCCATGGTGCCTGTGGGTGTGTTATTCACCATGCTAATATATTACAATAGATGTATAATGAAGCTCAAGCTCTGCTAGAAGTTAAATCTCTCATCACCTTGAGCCTCAAGGCCTACTGGGGGTTGAATCTTCCACCATTTTGATGTTAATTGCTGTGGCATTCTTTGAATGGCTGTGCCCTGCCCCCTTCCTGTCTCAGCAGGATTACGTGAGCATCTTTACTGTGACCCTAGTCCTGCCCGGGTTTACAGTCAGCAGATGGTTTCCAGGGTCTGCAGTCACCAGCAGGAAACATGCCCCAGGGCACTGTCTCTCCTACAGCACCCAACGGTGCTTCAATTTTATACATTTAAGTAGAACTGTGTTCCTAAAAATTTTCAAAGTAAGAGAAGGAATTAGCTTGGTTATTATTATCATAATGTTTTAATTCTCCTATCTTCTGAAAACCAGGTCCATGTTGACTCAGGATGAAGTTCATTAACTCTCTCAAACAAATATTTACTGAGTCTTTCCCATGTGCCTGGCAGGGTGCTAATCGCCAGAGGTTAACAGTGTATACAGCTTTGGCTCTGCCCTTAGCAAGCTTACAGTCTATTAAAGGATATGGGGAAAGAAGAAAACAATTCCCTTACAGTTCATAAGGACTATGTATAATAGAAGAAATTCAGGGGACTCTCAGAGTCCAGAGGATCATTCCCTATCCAAACTTGCAGTGTCATGGAAGGCTTCCCGGAGGAAGTGGCATGTAAGCTGGCCCTTGAGGGTAAATAAGAGTTACCCATACGAAAGTCCAGGGTAAGTGTCCCAGGCAAACTATATTCAATACCTTGTAGTAACCTATAATGAAAAAGAATATGAAAATGAGAAATTGACATGTTGTAACTGACTATACTAAAAAAAAAACCATGAAATTATTATTTTAAAAAAAATGAATATCTGCATTTTTTGCAGATACTGAAACATTGTGCTGAATACCAGAAACTGACCCAACACTGTAAATTGACTATACTTCAATAAAAAAAATTTTGAAAAGGAAAAAAAAAATTTTTAAAGATAAAAAGAAAAAAATACATAGTTTCAGTAGTGTCAGAGAAGTGCAATACCTTTTTAAAGAAAGAAGTGAGATTGTTTTTTGTTTTTACTGATGTGAAATGGTTAAAACAACATGAAATAATTAAATGGTTAATGCTATGCCCGTTTTTAATTAATTAGTTCAAGAATATGTTTTGAGAGAGAATATATATTTGCACAAAACAACAAATACACATTTCAAGGTATTCATAAAATAAGCTAGAATGTTTGCTGGGGGAAGGGTAAATAGTTGGCTACAAGGAGAAGAGGGATAAACAAGTAAATGGAATAGGAGGAGGGAAAATACTTGTAATCTCTCAATTCAGTTCAGTTAAAAAAAAAAGTTCCAGGCAGAGAAAGATGGCCTCTAGGCAAGAAAGAGCAAATCACAGTCAGGAAGTTCAGTTGCCTGGGGCTGTTGACGTTTGTTTTCAAATCCAGTCACTTACCGCTACCCTCCTTCCCCAAACTGCTTGGTTTTTGTTTGGTTGGTTGGCTGGTGGGTGAGTTCCCACTTTTCCTCTGATGCCAGCCTGTCTGCGGCTGCCCCCTCAGCCTCCTCGACAGGTCCCTCGCATCCACGCACTCCCTAGCACCCAGGCCCTCTTAGCAAGCTCTCTTTGCTGCCTCCCATCCACTTTTCCCTTCCTGGCCAGAGACTGTTTTCAAATGCAGATCTGATCGTGTCAGTCCTCCTACTTAAAACTCTTCAGCGGTTTGTTTTTTCCAGTTTTGCAGGCTTTTTTTGGTAGCACTTTTATGTTCCCTTATACCATGAAGTATCTTTGAGCCATGACATTCTCACCTCACAGCAGAAAAACAAGATGTGTAAGTCATCCTTAAAAGCTGAGAATTATGTAGAAAAATCTTACGTAAATTAAAACAATGCATAAATTTGCAGGTACAAATACAAATCATTTTGCAACTGTAGTGAGTAATTTAGCCCTGTGATACTCTGCTGGAAAAACATTGGATAAGAAAGAAAATGGGTCTGAAGACTTGGATTAGCTATGTTTCCTAGCAGTGCTGGAAGATTGCAAGAAAGCAGTGACAATTCATTCATAAATTCTTGCCAGCCTCTGGAGAAATCTAAGAACTGTCATTAGTACTGTTCAGATCTGATCAGGCTCCAAGGGGTGAACAGTTCACAAGAAATTGTCAGTCAGCTGACGAGCCGTCAACTCAGGCCAAGTGCCTTCTGTAAACATATTACCCTTAGCCTCCTTTGATCACACAAACTCTCCAATTGAATGTGCTAAACTTTAAGCCAAATGTATGTACAGAATTTCAAAAAGTGTGTCATAAGGAAACAGTTAAGTTGAGAACAATGTGAAATGGTGCCATTTGCCTGCCTATCAGGTAAGGACAGGTTTTGTTTTTTAAAGGCATATTCAGGCAGGTGGGTCTAACAAAAGATGTGTACCTCTGCCAGGGCAAACTTGTACTTGTGAACTAACTCCTACAGGATGCCCAGCGTATCTGCCAGCAGTCCATTAAAAAGTATTTGCGGTTGTGGTGGCCAGTGGACAGGCCAAACTCATCAGAGTCTTACTTGCTAATCCACGTCAGCTGGAACAGCCAGACGTCATATTTGCACTCAGAGGAGTGAACATCCTAATTTCCGTTGTGCTTGGCTCTGGGGCTGTGACATCTGTTTGTGTTCTAAAGTCAGGAACTCCAGGGTACTTGGTAGCAGCACCAGACCACACGGTGCACGTTGTGTTGGTGTGTAGGTCCTTTCCAACATCAGCATCACGTCTTAAGGTTGAATTAGAAGCGTTCTCATGAAGTCCAGGATTCCATGTTTAAGACGAATGGCTGGAAAGAACTCCTGAATCTAAGACCCTCCCACCGCTAGAGAGCCTCAGCTGACGTCAGGGAGCTCCGTTCTCTTCTCCAGGAGATCAGTAAGGAGCAGCAGCTCCTGTTGGACATCCAGAGTAGGGGAGCACCACTTCTCCCTGATGCTATGTGCAGTTTCTGCTGTGGACTTTTTCTCACAATCTTTAGAAATATTCTTCCAAGTCTTAGCTAGCTGGGTCCACAAATAGGACAACACAGGGCATGTGTAACCCTCATAGATGGACATTGTGTGGGTGACACCATGGCCCAAGTCTGTGCACCGAGCAGTGTATGACCAACTGTGTACAGGGACAGCACAGCTGGAATACAGCACACTTAGCTGGGTACCAAAGGTGTCCAATAGGACCTGCAACAAGTAGCCTTGAGGTTCAAGGGAGCTTCACTAAGGAGACAAGGGTATTTCTCAGGAGCAACAGGAATCCTTGCAGAAGGTGTAGTGCCAGATTGCCCACCTCACCCAGTAGGAATAGAGCCACATTCAACAGCATCTTGGATGACAGATACTGCCCTTGTTCTGGGTTCATCATCCATATGGTTCTCCTTCTGCACCAGAATTGCCATGACATCCTGTTACCTTGGGCAATTAATAGCAGGAAGCAGCCAGGTACGATGGTATCATTCCCAGCAGAGACACCTTTGCTCATGCCTGAGCAGTTATTGAGGGAAAGAACAGTGATTTTTTTGATTTGTGCTGTTACCTTCATTTGCTGCAGACAGAGATGGAGGAGAACTGGCCGGGAAGCAGTGACAGCATCCGGAGAGCTTTTCTTTGCTGAAAGCTTTCAGTGGCATCACAGGCCCTAGATGACCTCACCTGTGCCTACCTGTGCTACCTCCTCTCCCATCCTTGCCCGCTCACCCTCTGCCCTCCAGCCACACTCGACATCTTTCCAGCCCTCAGAGCCGCCATGCTCTTTCTTGTCTCAAGACATTCACAGGTGTTCTTCACTCACCAGTCACTTGATTTCCAACCCAACTCCTTAACCTACTGAACTTCCGTCCTTGGATTTTTACCTTGAACATCACTTCTTCCAAGAAACCTTCTCTGATTCCCCATCTAGTTTAGGTTTGTGCTCCTTCTTCTTCCTGCTTCTCACTTATTTGGAATCACTCCTTAAATGTCTGGCTTTGGTGGGGGCTAGGCCTTTTCGATTTGTTTCCGTATCCTCACCTCCTAGTTGAATCTTTGGCTCAAAGCATTCCTTAAATACAGAAATGAATGAGCGAGGAAAGTCTGTAAGCAAAAGTAAAGGTTTGGTGACCATAAACTGAATAACTTATCCCTTGGTTTCTGTTTTCTTTGTGACATGAAATTATCTAAATGCAAGGAGGAACATAGATGACATGGAAGAGGTTTCTTGTTTTGTTTTGTTTTTTGAAGAAGAAATAATATCTTATACCCCTGTCACCCATGACTAGATTCAACAAGTATCATTATATCTCCAAACTTGGCTCATCTAGGCCTCTACCTTGTCTTTTTTTTTATATAGAGATATATTTTTCATACCATAGAATTCACCCTTTTAAAGTGTACAATCCAGTGGTTTTTAGACTGTTCACTAAGTTGTGCAACCATTATACTGTCTAATTCCAAAACATTTTTATTACCCCCTAAAGCATCCTTGTACCCTTTAAGCAATCACTGTTCTGTCCCCCCTCCCCAAGCCCCTGGCAATGACTTTCTGTCTATATGAATTTGCCTGTTATGGACATTTCATATCAATAGAATTATATAATATGTGGTCTTTTATTCTGGCCTTTTTCACTTATCATAATGGTTTTGAGGTTTCCCCCTTGCAGCATGTATTCATACATCAAATGTTTTTATAGCCAAATGATACTTCATTGTATGGATATACCACAATTCATTTATCCATCTTTCAACTGATGGACATTTTTCAGTTGTTTCCACTTTTGCGGCTGAAGATGGAAATATGAAGTTATAAATTACCCATGTAGTTAAAGGGAAAAAGCACTAACAAGGAGGCAGGAGGAGGTGAGGCCTCAGAGGGGGCCTGTTTAAATTTGAGACCACAAAATCACGCTGCACAGGCAAGTAACCACATTTACAAACCCTCAACAAGTGAGCTCTGCCTCGTCTCCAGAACTTCACACACCAGCTCTACTAATCCTCTTGTGGGTCCCTGAACGTCCCTTGATCTCTCTCTGGTATTTGCAGTATTCTCTCAGTGGGGATCATTTTCTTCCAGGCCTCACGCTCACGAGCAGTCTGTCTTTGAGTCTCAGATGTCACTTCCTCCAGGAAACCATCCATGACACTCTGGGTTGGCATTAGGTGTCCCCATAGCTTCCCCTAGTCACCCCATCAAAGCACATACAGCACTGCCCTGAAATCTCATCCCTGCACCACCACTGGACTTGTGGGCAGTGACTACTACAACATTCTCCATATGCTCCCCAATGCCTAAGACAATGCCTGTGCACAGTCAGGGCTCAGTAAACTGTGAAGGAATAAATGAATGAATGAATGAATGATGCATACTTTCAAATCCATTAATCCGTGAGGGTCAAAGATGCTAGCAGCTAAGGCAAGATAGTAAGATGGCTGTCTTTCCAACACCCTGGTGGTTGCAATTCCTCAGAGACAAATTTTCACACCCTTAATAATTGAGAACTAGAATGGTTATGTTTGTCAAAGCACATTTATTTGTATTTCTGAACAAGTTTTCCATCAAAACTGAAAATCAGTTTTTCAGAAATATTAATTTATCAGTTCTCCCGTTTTCTTTCTTTGTCTGCATTTGGTGTTTCACTCTTAAGTGAAGGTTTCTATAACAGAACTGGAAAGTAGCAAGTGGCTCTCACCCAGGTGGACCTAGGTAAAGAAGAAAGGATACTAGCCAGGATTTCAAATATAATCTAGCATTAGGGAGCCAGCCTCTTAACTGACATTGGAGAGGACGAAATTGCTCTTTTTTGTGGGGAGACGTAACTAGGTTTATTTATTTTTTTAGAGGAGGTACTGGGGATTAAAGCTAGGACCTTGTGCTCCATCACTTGAGCGATACCCTCCCCTCTAAAAGTGCTTTCTCAAAAGAAAGAAAAATGCTAGTGATATACCCCCCCCATTACCATCAATTCTGTTAACTCAACTTTTAATTCCTTTTTGTTAAATCAATTAAAATTTTGACTCTGTATACTCCCCCCAAGATATTATAGAAAATCAAAAATATTGCTGGCATATTAAGCTAACAGAGATATTCCCTGAACTTGACCAAATAAACCCTTCTTTAAAATATCAACATAGATAAAATACAGCTATATTTAAAACAGTGTATGCTCCAAGCCTTTGAATTAATTTTCCTTTGAGGAAGGCACTGTGCAGAGGAAGCAATATCTGATACGTACAAATTAAGTGAGGTTGATCTATTGAAACGTAGTTGGCAATGACCCGGCTTCTTAGTTTGCTTGTTAACAGTTTACTTCTAAGTGCGTGCATCTTTAAACTGACACTGCCGCTTGTTTTTCCAAGAGGCAAATCATGGGAGATGGCCATAAATTGACTCTTGCTTTGCAATCCAAAGTCTATCTTAATGCAAGTTCCCCTGTGCTTATCTAATAATGAGCTTGGACAAGAATAATGCTGCCTCAGATTGCCATGTTCAAGGCATTCATTAAAGTTAATAATCAGTGCTGTTGCATAGAAGCTTTATACCTAATGTTGATCAGCCCTTTATTGTGTAGAGTTTGCTTGTATTCAAGTAGCAAGGAGCTCACCACAAAGGCCATCAGGTAGGTTTCCATGGTAGCAGTCCTTCTTTTGTTATTCCCATTTGTAACATAGACAGTATCCAGATACTCACTCTGTCACTGCTTAATGAAAAGAAATAGAATATTGATAATGCCGCTGCAGTCAGGAAGCCGGTCCGTGGGTGCGACACTAAAGGAGGACATGCTGTCTACTCGGGTTTTCTTTTAAGCAGTTGTCCACTAAGCAGGACTAATGTCCCTTTGATCTTATTGTATTGTGTCCTATTAATGTCCTCCAGTGGTCTCATATCATTGTTCTAGGGACAAGTAGAACTAAATGATGAATACTGCCATGCTGAATCTTATGAAAGACAAGTCTGTGATTGTACCTATTAAGAGTGCAGTGTAAAACTATGGGAGGAAAAAAAATCAACTTTTCAACATATCAGGATAACATTAAGGAATGAAAGTAGCTTTTGAATTTTTGTTGCATCCGTGTGGTTGTTCATTTATCCCGGTGACTCAACATCTGCATTTGCTTGTTCTCTTTTGGTATCTAAAAGTAAATGCAACTGGTGTCTCTTCCCATTGGTTGTGAATCGATTATTTGAGCCCCCAGAAGCACATGGGAGCTTTTTGATGCAGCCTGGCTCGTTCTAACAGAGATCACAGGAGAAGTCAACTGATACTCAGTCATTCAAACGAGAGAAGAATTTACTAAGGCTTAACATCGTTCTTCTAGTCAGTCCAGCCAAAACATCATTTCTGCCACTCACTCAGGAAAGCGTAAACGCTGTAACTCTTAATTTACTTTTCTCCTTCCCAGAGGCTAGGAGATCCAAAAACGTTTATGAACTGGTAGGACGTTAATACTTCAATTTTAGCTACTTTAATTCATGAAATCTCCACAGGGCACTGTAGGGCTTTCCCTTGTAGTCTTTGCATTCATCATAAATGGACTAAGTAGGTGTAACATATGTGGAGGTGTGTAAGAGTATGCATATATTAAAAAGAGCTTAAAATACTTCAAAAGAAAACTTCAGTGAGATGGAGAACTGAAATTATTATTATATAAGAGTGGCCAGTGGGACAGAAATGGGAAGGACCCAGGATTGAGATGGAAGAAGTTTAAACTGAATCAAGGGTTGAGGGTTTCCAGCTTGAAGTTGTTGATAAGCATCCATTTACCTTTCAGGTGGGGTAGATGGTGGGGGAATGTGGGCTTTCCCAACGGACAGACAAGAATGTGATCAGCTCAAGGGAGAGATTTAAGGTCAGCAGGACTAGAAACTGGGGATACTTACTGATCAAGAAGAGGAGGTACAGTAGAAAAGTACGGAAGGGTAGAAGCAGAGAGTCCAGAGCCAGGCCAGAAGAAAAGCCAGCCTGATACAAGCCTGCGCTGCTTGCAGAAACCTAGTGGTAAACCAGATCACTCTTTTGGAAAAAGGAAGACCTTCAGTCGTTTCCAGAGTGTATAGAGCCCAACTGTCTTTCCATTTTATAAATTAGCAAGTCAACATTTTGCCTCTATTTGACAGCTATCAATTTAAAATTGCCCTTTATTTTGAACGCAGTCACCAATATTGAGTTGGAATACTCTCTAGTTTTTATTCCAAGCCATCTTCTTTACAGATTCCCCTTCATTATTTAAACAGTGCTCACTATGTACTGGTTGTGCTAGCTGATAGAGACCCAAAGATAATGAGACCAATAGCAAATAGCCAAGAAAACTCATGTGTTTCTGGCAAGAAGAGTGAAAAAGTAACCATTCTGAAATATACCCAGAGCATTCTCAACAACAAAGGCCTCTTGGAAGGGGAAAAGACTTTACCAATGCCTAACAGACTTGAGGTAAGGGCAATTTAAATGAATGGGCAATTTAAATAAGGGTAAATTAAATGAATGACAATGAAGTTATAAGGAATGGAAAGGAGGAAGTGAGACTGCCTTGTTATTAGGTTACTTGACTCAGACCCCTTCTAGCTTTCCTGTATCACAGCCCAAGGACACAGGTCCACTAAAAGACTAAGATTGAACCATATAATTATAGAACACTTTTCCATCATCTCACCTACCATCACATCAACAGGGCTCCAGTATAATAGTGAATTACAACTGAGAGAGCTACAAGACACAGACTCTAAGAAGGAATTCTTAGGGAAACTCAAAGATGAAGGAGTGAGAAAAACAAGGACACTAAAGGAAATTGAAGTCTCTGGCACCTGTGGCCATAGACAACATTAAACACAGCCTAAGTTCTAGGTAGACTAACACACGAAAGTTCTATTTACCTCAGTTTCTAGTACTGGAAACATCATGTATGAATTTCAACAAAAAAAATTGCAAAGCATAATAATAGTAAAGAAAAAATAGAATCTGAATAGAGAAAGCAAGCATCAGAACCAGATATGGCACAGATGTTGGAATTATCAGACAAGGAATTTTAAATAACCATGTTTAATATATTAAGGGCTCTCGTGGCACAAGTAGAGAACACATAAAAACAGGAATGTTGTATGCAGAGAGTTGGGAACTCTAAGAAAGAATCAAAAGGAAATACTACAAATCAAAAGCACTGTAACAGAAATGAAGGATGCCTTCGATGGACTCATCAGTAGACTGGACACAGCCAAGGACAGAATCAATGAGCTTGAAGATACGTCAGTAAAAACTTCTCAGATTGAAATACAAGACAAAAAAGAATGAAAAGATGGAACAGAATATCCAAGAGCTGTGGAGCAATTTCAAAAGGTGTAACATACACAATTTGGAATACTAGAAGAAGCTAGGGTGGGTGCGGGGGCACCTTTTAGTTATAGAAGAACGAGGGTAGGATTCATAGCATATTTCTCAGAAGAAACCACTGCAAGCAAGAGGATGATGGCATAAAATACTTAAAGTGCTGAAAGAAAAAAAAATTGACCTAGAATTCTATATCCAGCAAAATTATCCTTCAAACATAAAGGAAAAATAAAGATTTTTCTCAGAAAATAAAAACTGAGGGAATTCATTGCCTGTAACCCTGTCCTAGAAGAGATGTTAAAAGATGCTCTTCAGGGAGAAAGAAAATCATAAAGGGCAGAAACTTGGATCTACATAAGGAAAAGAAAACATAGAAAAAAGAATAAGCAAAGATGAAATAAAATATTTTATTTTTCTTATTTGTAATTGATCTATTAGAGAAGTGTTGTTCAAAATTACAATAATAACAATGTATTGGGTGATTATTGTATGTGGATAAATTAAATGAATGACAATGAAGTTATAAGGGATGGAAAGGAGGAAGTGAGACTGCCTTGTTATTAGGTATCTGCACTGCCTATGAATCAGTATTTGAAAGTTATGTTAGTTATGAATGTGTATTGCAACTTTAGGGAAACAGTAGGGAAAAATTT